TATATATATATATATATATATATATATATATATATCTCCTCTCAATAATTCTCTGTGGATAGGATTGAAGCCTATACCACGTAGCCTAATGATTGTTAAGTGTGGACGAGTCATGGGATAGAGACTGGGATGGAATTTAGGGCTTTTTCCCTTATTACTTGACAGTGTTTTCTTTTTCTTCTTCTGTGTTCGTCCGCAGTGGCCAAGTTGAATGATGCTGCCCGGGGCTCCGCCAGATCCTGAGACGCTGCCCCCTGGGTCCTGTGCTGGCTCCTGCCCCTCCCTGCTTTTGCAGCCAGGGGTCAGGAGGTGGCTCGGGCGCGGGCTGGAGAGGCAGAAGCCCCTGCCCGTCGGTGTCCCAGCGCATGGAGCCCCTTGGGCTGAGCACCAAGACCTTGAACCTTTTTTGTTTTACCTTTTTTCCAAATAACTGTTGGGAGAAATCTCAGTGGCATCCTGGGGGTGCCGGGTGGGGGGTGGTGTTTGAAAGGGTGGGGTGGGAGATTCGGGGGACTGTGAGTTAGGGCTTGGAATTGAGCAAAACATCCCTGACTGTCCTCCCCCTTAACCATGTGGCTAGTGTGGGGTGGGAGTGAGAGGGAGGCAGTGGAATACACTAAAGCTGAGGGTTCCGATTTAGCTCTGTAGAAAAATGCCATGTTTGCTTGGATGCGGCCGGGGACCTGGTGTCAGAGAAAAGCAGCTGTCCATCTAAATATTACAGATGCAAACAGCTCCTCTGGTTCTGCAGAGCAAACTGAGAACACAATGTTAATTGTTTATTTAAAAAAAAAAAAGTCCTTGGAATAGATTTGCTGTGGGGAGAAGGGCAGTGAGTGTGGGAGTCCCACAGAGCCCAGGGGACTTTTTTTCAGTATTTGAAATAAAAAAAAAAATTTAAAAAAAGACCCACAAAAAACCCAACCCAGAAATACTCTGAAGCAGTTGGTGTGTTTTATTGGGGTTTGGGGAAAGGGATGAAAAGACTGAAGACATCAATCAGGGAAGAAGCTGGTGTGGGGCCCTAAGTGTCTGAAGAACAGGGTCCCTTAATATGGGATGTGGCTGGGCTCCCCACTCCCGTCACTCGAGAGGGAGCAGGGATGTGGTCATACAGACCAGGGCTTTTCCTGACTGCTGCCCATCCTTTTGCTCCCATAGCTAAAGCAGGTGCATCAGCCTCAGGTTTGGGCTCGAAATGAGGGGTGTGAGGGTGTTTGATGTAAATGGTTTATTCACACAGAAAGCTTAGTCCAGGCTCGGCAAAAAAAGGAAACCCACTCTTCCTTTGTCTTGCATTCCCTCACAAGTCCTCCTGTCTGAAGGAGAAATGTGACCTTCAGTAATAAGCCAAAGGGAACTCAAGCCTTACTGCGTGTGGCCAGCAGGAGGCAGAGTGACTTCTTTCCTCACCATGACCAAACCTTACTGGAATCCTGCCACTGAAGTTAAAAACGATTTGTGAATGTAATATGCAAAAGAGACGCACCAGAGGAGAAGCAGACTCCTAGCTGTCTCTCCCCGGCCCCACCCACACTCACACCAGTAGGCTGGAACCGCTTGCCCGGTTTGCCCAAGTCTGCTTGGGAGGGGAGTGTATTATGGTCTTTTCCCACGTGGATTGGCTTCTCACATGAGTATGCATCAGGGAAGATAAACAAGGTCCAGGAGACATAGATGTTCCAGAGAACGCTCCATCTTACTGAGGGGGAGGGAGCCTTCTAAACTGGAGGAGGAATCTGCTCAGTATCTCATTCTCCGTTATCACAAGCTTTCCTTTCTGAACAGCATAGATGCTGAGGCAGTGGAGATGCATTGAGGAAAGGCATTCGCTACCTCGGTGGGGCGTACTGTGTAGCTGGAAGAAAAAGTGTGAAAAAGCTCATATACTTCAAAAAGTATAAACTTATCTTAAAGCTAGGGTACACACACAAATTAGTAGAGTTTATTGCGGTGGGGTTAGTGAGCCTTCTCATCCTTATGCCCCTTAAACCAACCCATGGCTTCTCTTTGAGCATGTTGTCCCTAGTTTGTTTGCCAGGTAGACACAGCTGGGGAGTGAGATCAGAGGGGCTGAACGTGGGCTCCTTCAATGCAGTCTCGTTTTCATACAGGGCAGGAAGCTGAGCCATAGAAATAAGTTACCTAGAAGGTGGCAAAGCTGGTTTACTGAGGAACTTGAGTGTCTAGTCTAGGCTTTTATGTGATTTTCCCATTATTCCTTGCTTCCCTGGACCTTAGTTTTAAGCTGTGGTCTTTAGGAATCCTGGGATGCCAAGAAATGTTTGTGGCCACCTTTCTTTCCGTTTTGAAAGCTTGCCGTTCGTTCCTTCTTCACCCCCGTACTGTAGAGCTAGGCAACCAGAGCAGAGCGGTTCTGCAGGGCTTCACATAGCCCTTCCTGCCCGGTATCTGTTTTCTAAAATCGTTATCCGGGGTTCTTCCACTCAGACTTGGCTGAATGGCGATTGTGTTGACAAGCCTCTCAGCCATCTGATACGCAGGGTGTCAGGGATGAAGTCGCCCTTATTACTGTCCACCAGCGTCTATTTTAAGCCGATGGGGCCTGGGCATGGAAAATGCAAGCAAAAGAAAAAGAATGAGTTGCCGTTGATGTGCAGTGAGCCCCGCGGCACTCACATGCAGCCCTCGTGCGTCGCGTCTTCTACTGGGCCTTGAGGGAAGTCAAGGAAAGGGAAGACTTCTGGGGAAGCCAAGACCGGACAACAGCATACAAATAAAAGCAAATTCACGTAGTTCTGAGCAGAATTTCAAGAACAAGGAAATGAGTTGTTAGCTGAATTTACTTAGAGGCGGGTGACTTACTAATAAGGGGTGTGGCGCCTGTGCTTCCGCAGGAATATCGTAATTCACAAGTAGTTGCTGAATAGTCACTGTGCGACTGGACAAATTAGCGTTCTTGGGAAGAAAAGCAATGTAAGAGATGGTGTATGCCCTGGAACGGGTCGGCAAACCGTGGCTCGCAAGCCACATGCAGCTCTGGGTACGTTCCGTCTCAAAAGTTTGCCGACCCCTGCCCTGGAAGAACTTGAAGACTCACTGAGACAACACTTGTACATAATGCAAGAGAGCAGATGATTCCTCAGGCAGTGGGGACAGAATTCTGAGGAAGTAAAACCTGGAGGGAAGTATTAGTGGAGGAAACCGACATTGAATTGGGCCTTGAAAGATGGGTAGTATTTAAAAAGCCCCGTTATCATTGAATAAGTTGCCACCCTATGCCAGGCACTGTGCTAAAATGTAAGATGTGTGGTATGTGGGAGCGTCTTTCAAGAGTCTACTCTGGTGGAGAAACTACACCTGAAGAATATTAGTGTTCAATTTGCAACAGGTGAGGCCTAGCTACATGGAGGATGGGGACACGTAATCAATAATTGCTAAATGTTGTGAGTGCTTACTGTGTGTCAAGTCCCACGCTGAGGGTTTAATTTACATCATCCCATTTTATCACAATTCTATGAAGTAGGTAGTCATACTATTGCCATTACATATACGAGAAAACTTGGAGAAGGGTGGGAACCTGTGTTGTTTCTGCAGTAGCCAGGCACTGAGGGGAGAGCAGGCCAGGAACGGACAGGAGCCCCATCGGAGGGGAAGGGCCTGCGGCAGGCCCAGAGCCTCGAGGGATCACAGTGAGGAGGTCCATCAGATCTGTGTTTCAGATAGGTCACTGCCAAACCATGTGCAGAAGGGACTTACTGGCGTTGGAGTTAGTGATGGACTGACTGGCACTAGTGGCAAGCTGCCTGGTTTCAAATCCTGATTTTGATAGATTTTTCATAACTCAGGACCAGTTTCTTAAACTCTCTTGGCTTCCATTTACTTACCTGTAAAATAGGAATGAATGGCACCTGCCACAAAGGGTCATTGTGATGGTTAAACAAAACAAGGTACGTAAAGCCCTCCCTTTGGAGGCTACAGCAGCGCATAAAGGATGGTTCCTGCCCTCAAGGGGCTTCCAGGCTACAGGGGGAGTGAATAAGATGGGTAGACAGACAATTAGAATATGGGGGCTCAGGGCTCAGATGGGGATCAGCACAAAATGCTCTGGCAGAGCGAGGGGCGGGGGGGGCGGGGCGCGGGGAAGTCAGGAAAACCCTTTCACAGAAAATAGCTTCTAAACTGAAATCTGACAGGAGCCGTAGGACCTAGTCAGGTCAAAGGGTTAGGCTGAGAAACAGGGTCTTCCAGGGGGAAGGAACAGTGTATAAAAATCAGAGGTGTTACATTCCGGAAACTTGAAGTAACAGCGTAGCGGTAGCATAGCCTGCAAGGAATGAGGCCAGACATGAGTGGAGGGAGGCAAGAGCCAGATCACACAACCCTTTGGACTTCATCCTGGAGGCAATGAGAGATGCTCTTTAAAGATTTTGACCAAGGGAATGCCATTGGCTCTTTAGAATAAGCTTTCTGACTGTTGTGTGGGGAAGAGATTGGAGAGGGTAAAATTGATGTTAGAGGTGCCGTTAATGGGATTGGAAAGTTGAGAAGGGGTATGGCTGGTGTAAAGAGGAAGACGGTGAGTTCAATTCGTGGCATAAGAAGTTGGAAGTAACAATGAAACACCTAAGTGGACAATTCTGTACTACACCCATGTAGTAGTAAATTCTTACAATGGGCGAATAGAGTTATGAGTAAGACGATTACGTTGCCTACAGTTCTGGAGGTTAGATATGAGTAGGAACTGAGGACGGTAATGACAATGGGGATGAAGAAGAGTGGATAGATTCGAGAGATAAATGGGAAAGACCATCAACGGAACTTGATGTGGGGTGTGGGATTTGGGAGAGACAGGACTCTACTTGGTTTCTGAGTAAATGATGATTCCATAACCCAGATTGAGAAGGCACCTGGAAGAATATGTTTAGCAAGGAAGATTATGAGCTCCATTTGACAGAAGGGTTGATTTGAGGGGCCAAAGGACACCCAGGAGTAGATGACCAATAAGTTATTGGATTTATGAGTCCAGAGGTTGGAGAAGAAGTCAAGATAGTAGATTATGTGGACTTTAAGGTATACTTGTAAAGCCGCGGAAGTGAAAGCATATAGAGCAGAAAGATTGGAGAGCTGAGACTATGAAGGCTAACATCTGAAGGGAACAGAGACAACGGAGTAGGAGAATCGGAAGATGGGGTGCCAAGGGCAGAGCTTCATGGAGCAAGTGCATCAGTCAATAATGTGAAACGCTACTGGAGAGTAAATGAAGTAAGACATGAGATTCTGTCACCTGAATGATAAAAATGCCCAAATTTTTCAGGAAAGAAAGGTGCCAACATAGTGGATAAATCTATTTGTCAGGATTATGGTTTAGGGCAGGGGTCAGCAAACTTTTGAGATGCAAGAGCCGCCAGGGGTCAGCAACCTGCAGCTCGCGAGCCACATGCGGCTCTTTGGGTACGTACATGTGGCGCTGAAGTAAAATTGAAAATGAAAATAAAACTATCATAGTTTCATTTATAATATTACTTTACATTTTCCTTATTTGTAAAAATATATTTATGGCTCTCAAATAATTTTTAAATTGTTGTGAGGGACAGGGTTGGCTCTTCCAGGGTTTGGCAAACTTTTGAGACGAAACGTACCCAAAGAACTGCATGTGGTTTGCAAGCCGCAGTTTGCTGACCCCTGGTTTAGGGTGTGCGTGTCTACTGTCTGTAGTTCTCAAGATTTTGACATTGAGCATGTACTTTTTTCAAATTATTCATAGTAACCGGTAGGACTACATTAACAAGCATCATTCTTGACCTAGTACCCGGTACCTACCACATGGCCCAAACCCAAGAGTGACATCAAATTGATACCTGTGCCGGAATATTTATGTTTCTCACCAGAGATAAAACTCTCATGGGGCCGGCTGAGTGGTGTGTTGGTTAGGAGTTGACTTGGGACACCAGCTCTGGGCAGCAGGGCCCT